TATTGGTTAAACATCAATCATGAGGTCCTTAATCTTTCCATATCAGTACCTTTACAATGTTTTATATTGGTTAAACATCAATCATGAGGTCCTTAATCTTTCCATATCAGTACCTTTACAATGTTTTGCTGGTCCTCGACCCCCTGGAGGTCAATTGGGGCACCAGAGGATTTCAAGTTCTCCAACTTTCCTGTGCACTTCTGCAACACCAACTGAACAGCGTTTATTTTATCCCGTAATGTGGCAAGTTTAGCGTCCTTCTCGGCCTCTCTGTCGCGGCTAGGAGGAAACAATAAGCGTTAGATTTCTCCTTACTGTTGGAGACACGGTGACCGAAAGGCAATCGCGCTGAACTCTGTACCGAAAGGTACGGGTTTGAGACATGACCCGCTGGTCATCGTGTCGTGTTTTGGGGCAACACAACTTACTCTCACTACACCTCTCTCCCCAGCCAGAAGTACAAAAAGGTTTACCTGTGAACTGTCAAACAAATGTAATGGGAAGCCGTAGTGAAAACTAGAAACGGACAAGCATACCACCCCATGGAAAGCAGCAATATTATCAGTCAACTCGAGCTATGGAAACCAAGATAAGTTACAACGGAGTTAACTGAAGGTTCGAGAACACATCTTACCACTCTCCATGAGATTTACTTTATCATTTGTTTTTGATATAACAGAGACAGAAAGGTCAAACCTGTCAATCTGATCGGCGCCATCAACATGGTCATCGTCGAAATCAACGAGGTAGTGAACATTGGGTTGCGACTCAACAGAATGTTGTACTTGTGGCTGTAAAATGACAGAAACTGTACATTAAGACCATGCCAACTAATTGGTCTTGTAATTCAGCTTTTATAACTTTGTCTTTTGTACAACTATCAAGCCAATTACTGACAAACAGAAAAGATGCTGGTTTTAACAATACATCATTGATAAAAGTCTAGGACGAGATTTGACCTTTGCTATAAAATACTGGCAGATTTAAATGACCACAAAAGTCGGAAGGCACTTTAGTCTTTACCGCTTTTCACGAATGGTCAAAATTGTAATACAAAGAACCATCGGCAACAAGTAAAGAAATCTAAAAATTCAAAATTCAAAATATTATGTACCTATGACTAAGAGAAAAGGCTAGACGGAAAAATTTCCAGTTCGCGGTTAATACGAAGGGACAAAGCGCAGCAAGGTCCGTTTGCTATGTCCAGGAGCCAGGTCCACCTAACTCAGTGAATACGCATTTTATTATACGACAGTCGTTCTTTCTTTCCTTTTTCTTCTTTTCTTCCCACAGGTAGTATCTCGCAGGGCTGTAAGGCCCTGCTCGCAACAACGCGTACGGTCGTCATACGGAAATTTTTTTCCTGATGTCTTGTTTTTCGACAAATGCGTTACTCGGCCTTTCGAGTCATATGAAGATAACTAAGACCTAAGCGCTATCAAAAAACCTCTGTACTCTCTTTAAATTATGTGCATTAATATAGATTGCATTTATCTTAGAATAGAAACTTCTTTGATACTTACTTGTATCTCAAATGTACTAAACTCTGAAGGTGTTGATTCAACATTGTCTTCAGAAACTTGGACGAGAAGTTCCGTCTCACCGTTTTCATATGCGGGAGAAGGCTGGGCTAATTTGTTCTTCAGTCTGCAAACAAAGACGCGATACACAGCTTTAACTAAACACTTCGCGACAACTCTATTATTCTAACTACATCCAAGAAGGCGTCACTTTGGAGATGAGGCTGATTTTAGTTTGTATCTTTTCTAGTTCAATGCGTTGCGTATAATCACGTGCTCGTAATAGTAAAATCTGAGGGAACAATCTGCACATATTTGGCATACTTTTTTCACGAAGAAATTTCATAGGCATGTGAAATTTATCTTGTGGAAATCATGCAGAAGTCACATGCTGAAGGGCTTTAGTATAGAGTCAAGGAAGTAGTAACGTGGAAACTGCAAAGTGGGGTATTTGCTGTAAATGCTCATGGGTTACTTTTCACTTAAGTTTAGCTTCAAAATTTTTAAAGCTATAAATCTCTCATTAGCCAGTCTGAAAATTAAAAGGGATAGTCTGTTCCCTTTTTTAACTTAGTGATCTTTAACTGAATCTAACGTCAACACAAAAGTTTCTCATCATATCTTACTCTTTGTCTTTTTGAACAGCCTCCGATGTCATTGTATCCCAGTTGATGTTAAAATCTTTCAGCTTTCCTTGCAATATCTCACGGTCTTCTTCGTCAATGTGAGGCTCCCGGCAGAGTTCGTCGACTTCACTAACGACCCGATCGACTTCCTTCTTTTTATAATCGATCCGTACCATAGATCCCTAAACATAAAACAAGATAAAGAAAAAAAGAACAAAACAAAACTTTCTAAATGGCTACATAACCAACGAAAAGTAACAAGCCTTAAATATGAACATCTTGTATGGTATAGCTCGGTTGTAGTGGCACCAGTACTTGGACATGTGAGCTTTTTTCTTCGGGCAGAACTTTTTTGTTTCTCTTGTTCTTTGACTCTTCATTTTGTTTCGTATATTACACATTGTTGCATTGAACTGGCGTGCGAGCTGATCTAAGAGTGCCAGTCGGACCAAACTTAATACTTCTTTATTGCTCCATTTCTATCAAGAAACTACAAAATTGCTAATCCTGGACGTCTGCGCTAGACATATATGGCTCGATACCGAGAGGCTGTCTTGGAGGTGATTGAGTTGATTTCTCCCAAATAATTTTCGTCTAGTACCCATGAAAAATTAAGGCCATGAGTAAGTGCTGCTTACCTCATGATCATCGATCTCTCTTCTGATCTCTGCTTGGCTCTGGCTTTGTCCTCTTTTCGATATCTCATTTCTCGTTTGCTGTATCCACGAGTTGTAGGTGTCAATATGTTGCTCCCTTGGCGAAACGACAGCCCCGCGACACCTGAAAAAAGAAGGAATACCATGGTTTAGAGAAACTAATTTGGCAAGTTACTTTTTCACCCTTGCATTTTGCTATGGCTGGAAAAGTAGCTCTCTTGAGTTCTTCTTTGAGTTGGAACTGGGCTTGAACGTCGAAATAAAGAGACTTAAATATTCGAAAGGTCTGTTCACACTAATCATGGGGGCAATTTTGGAATCCCGATATCGAAATGCGTCTAACTGTATATCTCAATGTTTAGAGTAGGCGTGGATAATACGAATATCAATTTCACAAAAGTCTCTTTTGGTTCACAAAAAAAATATCATTATGTGTGTGTAAATATCAACGACTTAAAAACAACAAAAACGAGCTCTCCCTATTTTAAGATTGCCTTCTATTACCGTTTATGAAGTCTCTGTGAGAGAATTTCCAGTTTTTCCCATCGATCGTGGAGTAGGAGTAATTGGTTTTTGATCTCTGTTCGATGTGTCTCGTCTGTCTTGTCATTCATTATTAAAGTCTCGCCCATATCTACTACATCTCCCACGTCTTGGCGATGATTTGTAATGTCATCCATCAGAGACTGGGAACGACACAGAAAAAGGGAAAACAAGGTAAGTAAGTTTCTTATGTTAGCTCCACCTATTGTTACTAGAAAATGAAAGTTCAGGTGATTTCCTTCATCGTATCATCCCATCGAGTCCAAGTTTCATACAAATACGTACTGTTCAGACCTAACTTAGGACTAGTCAAGGGCATTTAAAACCTCGTGAAGGAAGAAAATAACCTTTCTGTGAATCAACAATCAATGCAAAGGCAAAGTGATTCGTTTGAGGTTTGTGTATTTATGCAAGAGCCTTCAACCAGCAGCTTTTTGCTTCTCTGGATTATCCACACTAACCTTTGATTTGCTGTAATCGTCTAAAGGATTACCAAACCGGCCAGTTGATTCTAATTTGTTGGAGACCAAGGTCTCTTCTTGTGAGATGTACGCATTCAGGTCTCTCAGAGATGCTCGGTAAGCTTCAAGACCCGCCAAATCCTGATAATGAAAAAAAAAGTACAAGTTTACTTCAAAGCTGAGCAATTTTGAATTGAATGATAAAAGTACAGAAATCCTTTGTTGCAGCGGCTCTAATTTAAAGCGCTTTTAGTTTGAGGCTAATCAGCCAATCAGAGCGAACGAAAATATCCGGATCCAATGAGAACTAGAAGAAAAAAATAAGTCAACCACCAAACGCGCACAAAAACGCACGTGCATGACCAAGTCGCGATCGGTTTTGGCTTTGCATCTGATTGCATCTGATTGGTCGAGAGGGTGTCGCAAATTTTATGGACCAACCAGAGATCTTTTGTCACGTGCTCTTTTCTTCGCTTGAAGCAAGCTGGACGTATTTACTTCGGTTAGTTACTCCTTCTGATTTATCTCTTTCTTTATCTCTCTGATTAGTCAATTTTTTTTTTACTTGTTTTTGTCGCTTAACCAAATTCAGTGGAAATACTTTAATAGAAAAAGGTTTTTCAAATCTAATTTGCAACATGATTTATACTTCTGTTACGAATAGAAAAGCATTTCGGTCAAATAGAAAGCTTTTAAAACTCTCTTCTAATGTACCGATGGACTAACGAAAGTTGTCTGCAATGAAAAGCATACCAAAATGTGGCGATCTGATTGGTGCGAGACACATACTTTAATGCGGCGATCTGATTGGTACGAGATACATACCCTAGTGTGGCGATCTGATTGGTTGGAGATACATTCCCTAATGTCGTGACATGATTGGTGCGAGATACACACCCTAATGCGGCGATCTGATTGGTGCATGATACATACCCATGTGACAATCTGATTGGCGCTAGATACCTACTCTAATGCGGCGATCTGATTGGTGCGAGATACACACCCTAATGTGGCGATCTGATTGGTTCGAGATAGTTACCCTAAGGTGGTGACCTGATTGGTTCAAGATACACAACCTGATGCGGAAATCTGATTGGTGCGAAATACATACCCTAATGCGACGATCTGAGTGGTGCCAGATACATACCCTAATGCGGCGATCTGATCGGTGCAAGATACATACCCTGATGTGGGATCTGATCGGTGCAAGATACATACCACTCGATACACTAACATAAAGTTATTTTTATTAAAAAAATAATAATTCCGAAAGAAGGAAAACTTACGTCTAGTTTTCTTCTCTTCTTTCCTCCTTGTGGCGAGTATTCTCTCAAGCCGTGAAATAAACTGGTCAAGTACATGATGATCAACTTTTTATCTGGCTTATCCACATCAATATCTTAAAAAAAAAAAAAGTAAGGACAAACATGAATCAAATAAGTTTTACTTAAAAACCAAACATTTATTAAGCTGGCCATAAGTTCGAAATTATTCCAAAGACAGAGGTTACTCGCAGTTTTTTGCATATGAAACAATCAAAATAGATGTTGGCGTTTGCGTCCCTTGGTTTGGAGTTATCGAACTGTTGGAACTAAGGAATTACAACTTATCTCAACAATTTTGATCTCAAAACGAGTTGCTTCGATGCATTCATTACAATATGAACGAGATTTGGGCTAGACAAAAAAAATATATTCACTGTTCTCTGTTTAAGAATGGATTAAAATGTGGCCTTCGACAAACACACTGAAATCAATTATCATAGGCGACAACACAGACAATTCACCACAGAAATTTCTTAGTTATCAAATCCTAAAGGTACGGAAAAGGAAAAACCGTGCTTTAATTCGCGAGTACCGACATTTTATTAACTTTCTTCATTCTCTGCAAACTAAAATAGGTGATTCAATTAAAAATGCTTCATCCATGACATTTTTTGAGGAAATATCACCATGTGAATTGAAAACAATTTGCGTTGTCACTAACTGATGAGAGTGTTTGCTTGTAAATTAGTCAGTGGAAAATGTCTTTAATATTTTTTTCTAGTTGGCAATTTTTTCAAATAAGAAATCAGAAAATTCTAGTACAGTAGTCTTTCTTTAACCTTGAGATGCATGGAGAGTTTTTCTGGTATACATTATTTTCTTCTTAATGGACGTTCCAATTTATTTATTTTGTTTTTGATCAAAATGTCGCCTAATTTTTGTCCCTGATGCACTCTCACAGGTAATTAGGCCTTAAACAGGAAACCAGCATTTCAATAAAAGTTTGGAAAGATAGCCGCACCTTGAAATGAGGATGACATACATAAGATCATAAAATTCGAGGTCAATAAATATTCAGTTGGCAAAAAACCAAATCAAATCGCACTGAAGAGACGTTTAGATTGCAGAAGAAGCTTAAAAGATCTCAAGACCTGCCTCTGACTGAGAAAAAGTAGGTTGCTTCGTATTTTTATTTTATTAGCAATTTTTGTTGTATCAAGTGAGAAAATCTCTCTAATATACTTAAAATGTCTAGCTGAAAATCGAGATGTAAATCACAAGCTGACATATGCATGAGTACCGTGAAGGAAGAACTGTCGCACATTAAGTGTAGTTGTTCTCCAATTCCAAATCGAAATGTTCTGATAGTATTGCCCGCACACTTTTGACGAACATGTACACTTAAATGAAGCGTATAAAGTTTCAAAGTTAAAAAAAGAACCTGACAGCTAAGAAGGCTTAGAATGTGTTTCATGCGCTAGGACTTAATGATGCGTTTTACTTAAAAAGAATTAAATCGTAATCATGAACACAGAAATCTTTAGAGGCGTTGCAGTTTATGAAAAGGATCGACTTTGGATGTGTTCCCTCAAAACGCGCAAATTAAGATAGCAAAATTTATAATAGAGTTTCTCATTTAGAATCGATAGAATTGAAATTGGGTCAAAACAGAAAAAACAGGGATATTTATAAAAATGTTGAATTAACTCACCTGCTGGGTCAAGCAACTTTGGAACTGAAAACTCGTCATTCGCTACGTTAAACGCGTGATCGAGGTTCGTTTTGTTGTCATTTTTTAAAAGGCTCTCAAAACGAAACAGTTCCGGCCTGGAAAAAGAGAAAAAGAAAGAAAAAGTTAGGGGAAAAGGGGTTTTTCTAAGAAACAGATAGATAAAGCATACTTAGAGTTGTCTCAAAAGATTGGATCGCTTTAATTAGTAAGGGGCTTTCTAGCACTACATGTAATCAGATACAATGTATATATGAAGTTCATATATTTTGAACTGCGGTATTAGATACGTATGATGCACGATCCTCGCAGTAGAGAGCGCTATTTATGCAATAGCGAAAATCAGACCTGAAAAAAATCAGGCCTGTACGGGATTCGAACCACTGACCTCTGCGATACTAGTGCAGCGCTCTACCAATTGAGCTAACAAGCCAACTGGGAGCAGGCCGTTGAGTTGATTCGTAAAAAACCCGTGACGATAAATCAGATACAATGTATATGTGAAGTTCATATATTTTGAACTGCAGTATTAGATACGTATAATGCACGATCCTCGTAGTAGAGAGCGCTATTTATGCAGTAGCGAAAATCAGACCTGAAAAAAATCAGGCCTGTACGGGATTCGAACCACTGACCTCTGCGATACTAGTGCAGCGCTCTACCAATTGAGCTAACAAGCCAACTGGGAGCAGGCCGTTGAGTTGATTCGTAAAAAACCCGTGACGATAAATCAGATACAATGTATATGTGAAGTTCATATATTTTGAACTGCAGTATTAGATACGTATAATGCACGATCCTCGTAGTAGAGAGCGCTATTTATGCAGTAGCGAAAATCAGACCTGAAAAAAATCAGGCCTGTACGGGATTCGAACCACTGACCTCTGCGATACTAGTGCAGCGCTCTACCAATTGAGCTAACAAGCCAACTGGGAGCAGGCCGTTGAGTTGATTCGTAAAAAACCCGTGANGCTGCACTAGTATCGCAGAGGTCAGTGGTTCGAATCCCGTACAGGCCTGATTTTTTTCAGGTCTGATTTTCGCTACTGCATAAATAGCGCTCTCTACTACGAGGATCGTGCATTATACGTATCTAATACTGCAGTTCAAAATATATGAACTTCACATATACATTGTATCTGATTTATCATCACGGGTTTTTTACGAATCAACTCAACGGCCTGCTCCCAGTTGGCTTGTTAGCTCAATTGGTAGAGCGCTGCACTAGTATCGCAGAGGTCAGTGGTTCGAATCCCGTACAGGCCTGATTTTTTTTAAGGTGTGATTTTCGCTATTGCATAACTAGCGCTCTCTACTGCGAGGATCGTGCATCATACGTAACTACATGTAATGGTAATAAAGAAATTTTGGTGGAAGACAGAACCAGGGGAAATCCTATCCTTAAGATTAGCCTTTCCGCTATTCGATATCAATTTTCCCTTTTTTTTTTTTTTTTCAACTTCTCTTTGAGTATTTGGTAATAAAATAAGAAGAGAGAAAAACGCAGAGAAAGATAACACCATGTGGCGGGGTGATAGTACGCATTCCTAGTAAAGTAGTGCGGCGGGGTTAGGAGCCAAATACTATTCCCAGGCTTCGTGCGCCATTTGAAATCAAGATGGCGGTCTCCATTAAAACCGCACAAAAGAAAATTGACTAAAACAAATTCTCAACGGGGCCATAGATATAAAAAATAACTGAAATAAAATTACTTCATAGAAATGACACAGATTACTTACTTGTGAGAATGGATGATGGCGTTGAAAGCCAAACCGTCTCTCCAACTTGTTGTGAAGTCTTTCAATTTAACGGAATCCTCGTACCTTAAAGGAATTTTTAGAAATCCAAACTCATCAGACAAGTAAAGACGATACATAATGATATTCTACCTTAGAAAAATAGTAAAAACTAACACCTAGATATCTGAACTATCAAAATAAGAAAAAAATTCAGAAAAGAATATAGTGTATACACTGTAACGAATCGAGTCTCAGTTGGCGATAATATATACCGCTACATTTTGGTCTCGTTGGTCACTTGGCGAGATTTTATTTGCTTTGACTGTATCCCTTTGACCTTGAACTCGGCCTTTGACGTTTCACCTTGGCTTATCAAATGCACATCATTTTAGGCCTCACCCTTCAAGTGATGTCTGACACCAAGAAAGCAGTTTCTTCTCGACTTGAAAATCTTTGACGCCGGTATCCCCAGCGTCATCACCAGTAATGACACCTTGCACCTGACAGAAATTGAGAAATATCAGAGGTCCCTAAATGTTAGTTTTGAAACGCTATTTATTTCCTTTGTACCTTAGATTATTGCTTAAACACCGACTGTTTACGCTTAGTTAACGTTTATCTACGTCACGGTTTATTTTAGTCGATTACTGTAATTGGTGTGAAATTGTTACGCAATTTATGTCAGTCACTCGCTTCGGGTGTCTAAGAATTCCAAACTAGGTGTACATTTGTGACACCTTGCAAGTTACGGAGTTGCAGTTGGTACGAACTAGTTTTTTCTTTTTCACGGGTTACCCTTCGAATAAAAGTCGAAGGGGAGAAACGAGAAACCGCAACTTACAGTAAGGATCCAAAAGACGAAGTCAGTACGATAATAACTCAACTCTTCTGTGTCTGGTGGGTTTGGAAACTTTACAGAGTCCAGTAATTTATAAAGAATGAAAGACAAAATTTCACTCGCCTGGGATTAAGAAAGACAGGTAAACCCAGGGTTACATAGTGTACCTGGAATCGTAGAATAATACTCCATATAAGCCCAAGAATAGTCGTGCTCTTTCCGTCGACGATGTCGTAATTGCTGATCCCAACAAGCTTGACCTAAAAAATCATTTTCAGAAAAATGTGGTTATATTAAAAAAGTGCAGTCTTCCCAATGAAAACGAGTTTTGATTGTGCGATGATAAAAAAGGAAATCAATTTCACGTCGAAAGGTTTGCGCTTACACATACCCTGGTCTGCTTAAGAAAGCAAAAGTTGTGGGTATCACACAAACGACCATTAATAAGCTAAAAGTACGGAATCATCACCACCAACCACAGTATAAAGACCAACATTTGAAAATATATTTAAGGGTAGAAAATGGCCAAGAAAAAAAAGCCTGAACAACACATTAAAAGATACAATGTCTGATGTCTTATTCAGTGCATTCATTACGAGCGTGGAAATTTATGCGTCGATCAATTCGAAACTTCAACATCCCCTCCCTGGGCAACCCCTTTGGGATGGAAGAGGGTCAAATGTCCGTGGACTGCCTTGGATGGAATGTTGAAGCTTCGAACTGATCGGTGCATCAGTTGCAAAAATGCGTACTTACCCTGTTTTTTTCCAACACTTTAAGTGCTGTGGTCACATTAGTGAGTTTATGAACACGCATTCGGCCTTTCTCTCTTTTCTGTTGAAAAAAAAAAAAAAAACGTTTTTTGGGGCGTTATAACTAGCTTACTTTAGTGGTAGACAAGAAAGTCTGGCAATTATTTTGTAAAGATGCTTTTGACATTGCCGATCCTAGCAGTGTGCAGGACGCGTATCAAATATGATCTTCGTAATGAGCCTTGCTCACCATAGAGTCTCTGTGGGTCAGCGGTAGAGCATCGGAGCGCGGGATCCGAAGGTCTGAGGTTCGAATCCTCATGGGAACTCAGAAATGTTTTCACTGTCCCACGCTCGTGACAAGACGGAAAACATCTTTGTATCCGGCAATTATTGTAAGTCATAAGAAGAGTTTGTAAATTATAAGTAAAAAACAAGTAATTCGCAAACTCTTCCGCTGCCCTTACAACTGAGATTTTGTTCCGAGGCCTGTGGTGTTAGAAATGAATAAAAAAAGTTCTGAAGCCTCCTTCGCAGCTGTCACACTCAACGCATTCTTACCCTACAGGCGTGACGTAGCCAAAAAAAGGCTGCGAAACCAGGTGACTTAGAGTTTATCGAATCCCAGTTAACTAATAATATCTAATCGTAAATCTAGTACACACGGATATGCGGGCATTCATTGGTGAAGAATACCAGTATATTTTGCTATAATCAGCTCTCGGAAGGTGAAAGAAGGTTAATTAGTTTATAGAACCGCTAAGATCAGCCAGTAAAGACCATGTGCCTTACAGTCCCGTTTCAGCTTACTAGCGCGGTCCTCAGACAGCAATGCAATGTCATAAACTATTTGCAACCCTAGATAAAGACAGGCATTAAGTAAGCAACAGCACTTATCAACAACAAAAAAGGCTTAAACAATATCAACAACAGCAAAACATAACAGAAAATCAGCGCGGCAAAGTTTTCTTTAGCCAACTGTTATGTACATTCATCGCGTAACGAAACATTGGTACAACGAGACTTACCAAAGTTGTTCCCAAGAGGACCTCCAACAGAGAAAGGAAAACATGTCCATCTCGAACTTCCTCGATAAGATCCGTCACCTCTAAAGGTGGTACGGCCTGCACAACGTTTGAGAAAAAGCAAACATCATTGTTCGTCACTGAAACTGTTTTCAAAACAACGATGACAACCAAGGTAGTGATGGAATGCGAGAACATACGTATGAAGAAGAACAAAAAATGCGCATGTATGTATGCACCGACACCAAAAGATGAAGAAAGAGTCGTGAAATTTTTTCGCACGAAAGCCGCCAGGGAGCTAAGCGAAAATCAAAATGGCGGCGACTGGGTCACAAATTCGTTTCCTTCGGTGGTTTGAGCTTACCATTGCAAGCTTGGAGTTGATCCACTTTCGGAATGTCTTCTTATGAATTTCCTCTCTCTGTCCTTAATATTGAGAAAAGAAAAGTATGTATATCAAACAAAGCCACGTGACCAATCACGTGAACCATCCATTGTACATTTGACCAGCTCTTTCTCTTGTAGCGTTCAAGCACATCTTTAAAAGACGTCACTCACTGTTCCCTAAAGTTTGATGTTCTCCCTTGTATGTTCCCGACACCGCCTTTACAGGAGATCATGAGAATTTGCGGCTAGATAAACTTTAAGTCGTCGATCACAATTCAGTTTAACTGCTCATCTAATTTCTGAATTGCACATCATAACGTCGGGAGAATAAAGGAAGTGATATCCAACTAAAGAAATTCTTGATTGCTTTAAAACAATTTCTCTTAATCAGCACCTTAAGAAACGCATACAGAACAGTATGGAGAACACGAATGTAAAGGATCGATAGATGCTATACAAAATTGAAATTGCCATATGGTGTTACTTCTTCCTAAACCACAAATCGCCATCTTTGCTATGCTGGTTTACGATATAAATACATTACTGTTATTGAAATCCCTTATTTAACAACTGCAAAATAAATAACCCTTAAAAGTAACTTGGTAATTTGGAAGTCTACGAAATTACAAATAGTGAAAAAAATTTAGTGAACGGAATTGCTCGAAGACAAACGATTTCATCAGTAAAGAATTAAACTGAATATTACCTCGTCTTATGCAAACCATTTCATCACCAACAGATGCGATCATCCTCAACTGTTTTAGTTCTTTCGTTTTATCTGTTCCGTCGTGACGTATATCATTCGAATGAAAAAAAGATGTATTCGTTCCACTTCGGCCTCAACATTCATCATCCGCGTCACGATTCGCAAACAAATACCGCCCAAAAATTTCTTAATATTATTTTCTTGCAATGCAGAAAAAAACAACTCTTCTACGAAAACCAGCTGGTTCTCATCTGTTGCATCAAAAGATGAATTAAGGCTTCCCCTGACGACCGCCTCGTATGTTCTGTATTTCAACTCAACTTACTGACAATTATCAACATCAAATTACATAAACATAGTTTGTTTCAAGCTGAAGTTGTAAGCCAGTCTTGAATAAAGAATACCAGTTTTAGATTAAACAAGCTGAGACACCTACCGGAATATACATAATTCATTTTCCGACAATTATACACTTTGATAATAGTAGGATAATCACCCAGGTGCCTGAGATTACCACACCAAATTTATTAATTCTGAAACATCCAAAAAACTTTTAAAAAATGCACTCACACACACACACACACACACATACAAGCACGCATATTACAAGAGGTGTAAACTTGCGGCCGAAAAACTGTATTATGATCTGCCTGGATGAAATTTTTTTTTTTTCTTTTTTTTTTTTTTAACGCAGGTCATCTCTTTCATACAAAATTTCAGTTTCATGCAGTAAAAGTAGAACACCACTTACATATCTTTGCATCTGCCTTGTGTTTTTTGGGGGCTAATCGACTAATGCGTCTGTAAGTTGATATAAAAAGTGACGTTTGGTGTAGGATGTAAATTATGAGATGGAAAAAAACTCAGAACGTGCAAAACGTAAATGTACTCCCGACGTCGCCTCTGCGCCTTTTTCAGTCAAAAACTGAAATGTTTTTGCTACACAGTTCCTGCAAGTTCTTTCGCTTTGGGAACAGAACCTATTTCTTTTTCAGTTTCAGAAAATTTATTTAGATTTCTATCGCACAAATATTTTGTCGCAAGCGATTAAGCGCGTTTTATCAAAAGATATGTGTTTAACAGCTATTTTTGACTCTTGTCTGAAGGCAAACTTTCGTATGACCCAAACTTTTTATCGCTGCAATGCCATGATACTGTCATCTTTAAGTTTATACTGTACAAGCCGGGGTTATAAATTCACGAAATCATCGTCTGATAAAGCAAATTTCTCTAGGCGTAAAAATTATGTAAATTACGACAAAACACGCATGTCTCCCAGCACACTGAGACTAAATTTAGTTAAAATATCCCCCTTTAGATGAGTTGTTCTAAAAAATAATATATCAAAAATGTGCTGCAAGTAAGTTGATTAACGCTAACTTATAAGAAAAATATTTTGCCCAAAATACAAAATAGCCGAACAAAACACGGAGTCAAAACTGATAATCAGTAACTACGTGACAAGGACAAACTGTTTTAAGATGTAGCTGCTTTTTCCCGAAGTTTCTATTGACATTTTGCAAGTAAAATGATAAAATGATATACTGGTGTTGACGTTAAAAGGATAAACGCATATTCGTTATTTAGGTCAGTTATCGCTAATCTGTCGACTGAATAGAGGACAACAGGAGACAAAGTTTCCTACGGCTTAGTCGTTACACCACTTATACCGACATACTCCCTCGCTATAGTGGTCAGCATTTTGTTGATTAGAGAGCAAAGTTTTATTTCAGAGACATCTTCAGAGTAATGCATAAAACGCATCGTTTTAACGGAGCTGATATTCGGAACATGTCTGCGGAAACAAAGAAGAGGAAAATGCAAACAAGTTTATACGGTCAGTCTTACAGAAAATACACCTTTTTTCTTTGGTCAAGAAGCTTAACCGGTTGCTTCATGTCGATCGATTTTTATATTACGTCTCGGCACATTTTTTCGTGGCTTCGCCAGTTTTTCTCACTGTAGTAAGTTTTTCACATTTTCGGACTAAGTATTAAAGTCTGACATTAATCAACAGCTGGATATGTCTATCGCGGTAGCTTTCCCCAGCCTTTGTTGCGTTTTGTTTTAACAACAAACATCTTTTTGCCCTTTAATTTGGTGAAAGCTGATTGTGTTTTCCGATCAGCTACACAGACACCATGAAAAAGATAACCTATGCTTGACTCGTGGGAGTCAAACCTACAATTATATGTCGTAGATTCGGTAACATTAAAACTGTTTTGAACGCGTGCCGACCATACTCTAGCGTTTGACCACAAGAAGTTCCAAGTAACTAGATTTGGTCATTACACTTTTGTGAGTCCCAATGGCAAACATTATCATTCGATTTTTCCTTTTACCATAAAAAAGAAAAAGAAAAGAAAAAAAGAAGTGAAGAATCTGTCCGAGGCGTAACATTCTGCGAGCATTCTAGCAAGCGGAAATATCGATGACTAGATTCCTTGCTGACCGGCGCTTATCGACTATTGCAGGCTCAGGTATACGCTCTAAACAAACGAAAATTAAAAATAGAATGATTCACAGTAATTTAAGTTTCATTAAAGACTGTACTTTCAATTATCTTACAGGTAAGAGGGGCGGGGGAAGACAATAAAAAATTGCAAGATACCTAAGGCTGCCTATCCTTAATTCATATAAAACGTTTGATAAGGTCAAATTTCACATACTTGAGACACTTAGAACAGAATTTCTCGAAAAGAGATTGGGCAAGAGACTGGACTTTTTTGTACTGAGTCTATGATTATGATATTGAGTTATTCTTTTAAAGCATAGAGACTGCAGGTCTAGCAGAGCTAAAATTACAGCCGAACGCTCATCAAAAGAAGTTCAAAAAGAGCCGCTTTGATGCATTTCAATGGTACGTGGAGGCCGAAAAAAAAAATAAAAAATCAACAAAGCTATGAAGAGTAGACAGTTTTTCTTCCCCCGCAAGAGGGTGTTTCGTTGAGCGATTAACCTTGTCTTACAAACTGACAGCGAACGCAAAACTTCGTTTTCCTGCCAGGGGCGAAACCGGAACTTTTTTAAATCAAGAGGTGGCACTTGTCTGAAACCCCAGCCATCAATATTACCCTGTTTAAAACTTAAAAAGTGGGTCTCGTGTTAAATGCATGGTCTATACTAGTTAAACCTTGCCCGAGGGTTTAAACATATCAGTGATTTCCATTAAGTGCCCTGTTTTTTAAACATAGTTTTCTTGCTCCGAACGTAGATTTGGTAAACAAAACATTCAGTAGTGCACACTGTCTCTTAATTCGCTTTTAGGACTGAAATAGTTTATAATAAATAAATAAATAAATAAATGAAAGAAGTACAGTCGCCAAGTCTTTCTAGAAAGTTGAAATACGTCGTTGCTGTGATCCGAAATATTTGTTGTGCATCAAAACAGACTTACATGAGTTGAAGATGATACACAGTTTTACCTCTCGATATAAACTTCGTTCAATGATTTTTTGGTAAAAAAAAAGCAGTTTTTGAGATTAAGCAATAAAATAATATTCATTAAGACTAACAGTTGCGAAACACCGTTTGGGGGGGCCGAACTATCTCGAAAACAGCCGACGTAAGCCGTTGCCTAGTCTGTATCTGAAAGCGCCACAAGGGTGCAAGAAAACCATTTAGATGTCTCCAGGGCATCTCAATATGATAACAACTGATTAACTAACAAGATAAAACTGGCGTTTGGTTTAGAACGCTTTCGAGCTGGCATCACCGAGCAATTCAAGTGTCATTGTCATTCTATTTTGTCATCAGTGAAGGATGGAACGCATTCAACTTTGAAACAGGGAACTTTTAACAGCTGATTTGATGCACAGAATGCAACATGTAGGCATTTTTCAACGTGTCAATCTTTAATAGCGAAAAGCACAAGGAAAAAATATCCAGTTTCGATGTTCATCTCTTAACTGTTCGCAGAAATATTGCTGACAAGGCACTTAACACTTCATGTTTTTGCAGAACACTGCCATTAATTTACCGACAAAACTATGCAAACCATTTCACAATCTGCGACTTTAGCGATTGCTAGTTAACAACACAGAAGAAATATCGATTCGAAGGATTCATCATAGAACTATAGATCATTGTGGTTGTTAACACCTTGAAGATACGGCGTAATAAAGTTAATTTTATATCTGGACGTTTGACCTTACACTGAAAGTTGACGACAGATGACAAAATTCAGACCAAAAACGAATTAATATCGTGTACAAAAGGTTAACTCTCCAATGGGAGCTGCAGAAACTCCAACTCGAAATAACTCTACAACAGATTAAACACTAGCAAGACAGAGAAATTTAGGGCAACAAAAAGGAAACAGCATACCACCATTGCAAATGTTTGTTCAATTATTTAAAAGCGCACTCAGTGGGCACGTAGTCTACGTAATAACATTTTAAACAGCACAGCCATGTTTAAATACCTGTCCGCTCTCGAATGGTTTGCATGAATATAGCTGACTCTCGGGTCTCGCTTTGCCTCCGAAGCGACTCTTAAGCCGCCATCTTTGCGAGGTCCTCGTCCAACGTGGAATTTTTTGCAGTATCCGAAGTTAAGAAACCTCCCTGTGAAAGTCTATTGATGAGGGTAGCTTTCTTCACAGGTTACGCAAGGATTCCTCGCATACTTGTGATATGTAAATTTTGCATTTGAAAGGCGCTTTACGAGTTTAGCAAATACGTATGAATAACAAAGGCGTTAAAACAAAAATAAACAAAAGGAAATCAAAGGCGGGAAATGCTTCAGTTAACATGGACAAATAACAAATTCCCTAACGTCTAGGAAACGTCATCTTTGAATGTCATTAAGCAACCTGGAATGCAATCAAAGTCAATTGTGCTGATTAAAAACGAAAATAGAAAGATACTCAAAATTTGAATTACCGATGAGCTCGTTGCTCCATCTCGATGGGGAGCCTACAAGGTTGACGCTCAAAGTTTGCGTTGTGTGACAAACATCACGCAATCTCACACAGGCTGCACTACTAGATGACAGTTCGAAACCAACGTTTGTGATAAAAACAAGAAAACACATCGGAGGCTTCCTTTACATTTCGCAAAAAATAGCTGAAGAATAAGTTCAAAGTGGTGTCTTTGTTTTAAATTTTTGCGCAGGGTAAGCAAGGTCAAATAACTGTCCTCTGCTTCATTCTGTCAGTTCTGACGAGGCTGTGTTCCTTCCGGTGGCAGGGAATTTCCTTCCTGTTCTTCAGATAATTGTTCTGGTTGAGGATACAGGTTCAAACCACTGATTTGTGGACAAGCAACATCTAGGAAATATTTCGTTTCTGTAAGTGTAGTTAGTAGAAAGAAATATCGTTGACCTCTAATAGAAACGTTCAAACACATCCTCTCCCCCTCTCTCCCCCCCCCCCCATCCAACGCTTTTCAGTAACACGCAGTTACTTTTAGAACGTGATGGAAAACCTAAATGAATAAATTTAATACTCATATAGCGCAAAGTTCTTTATAATTATATGATCTAATGCGCTTTACAATAAGTTCAAAAAATATCTAAAAGAAACCTGCAAGGAATATGATGGTTAATTTACAAAATGAAAACAAAATTATATTCAACAATAAATTAAAAAGCAATGAAAAATCTATATAGTACATAGTCTAAAATGTTCACGCAATTAACAGTGTGCTTGTTTAAAAAGATGCGTTTTCAGTTGTTTTTTACAAATATTTACACTACTCACAGCTCTTAGGCTTTCCGAAAGAGAGTTCCATAAAAATGGGACAGCTACCGAAAAAGCTCTGTCACCAGTGGTCTTGGCAGATCTAAAAAATGACTAGTTTAAAATAAAACAACTGAAAAAAACAAATCAAAAAAACAATTATCAGATTTACGAGTAAATTTACGAAAGAAAAAATCGATCTTGCTATAATCACAAGTTGAAACGCTTGATATTATCAATACAACGAGAATAAAAAATTTCCCATCACATAAGCCTAGATTTTTTTTGTCTGTTTTAGAAGGCAAGATCTAGAAGTTGGCTTAGTTTGGTCCGTAATTCAGAATCCAAGAGTCCATGCCGATATATTTTTCGGAGAGTGTTATTATTGCGTCATCTGTCCCCTATTCCTTCGCACGGTCTGTCACTTTGCCAAACTTGTAGCGTAAAATAGAAATATCTTCTTCGTGGACTGTCTAAAATTAGTACAGTAGTGAATCTACGTTCGTAGCCGTTTTTCATTTATTGAACAGGTCATCAAGGTAAGAGTGACTTAATCGTATGAAGTATGTGGAAATATGCGAGAGGGTTAAACTGAAGAGGTCCGAGTGAACATTTTCATGCTTCGCGAAGACGCTTCGAAATAGCAACTTTCTGAATTTGGCCAACGCACGCTAGTCAATTATCTTGAAGAAACCGCGAGTGAGAAATATTTGTTTACAGAGATGTTGACCATAGTAAGTTTATTGTAGAGCTTTTTTTGAAAATAACTCCGTACTTGATGAAATGTTATTTTAAAGGAATTAAATTGCAATTTTATGTAAATCCAGTTTTGAACACAACTAAAAATTCTGAGACGTGTATCGCACAATTTCAGTTTTTGGAGGGAATCGAATTGATCTAGCTCTCGTAAGGTTTGAAGAGTGAAAATAGGATTTTGTCTAGAGCGATTTATGTTTGTGGACAAAAAAAAAATATTCACATCTTTTTCAATAAAAGCTTGCCACATCATAAAAGTCTCGGTCTGCTCGAAAATTATTTGTTACTCAAGATATATTTTTTCCGACCGGTTTGGACCTGGCATAACGCACTCGTTTAAGAGGACATTTTGTTTCGATTTTAATCCTAAATTTTTTTCAGTGATTTTTCAAATACATTACATGCAGCGACGGAAAGCATGCTTTTAACCTGCTGCCATTTACCAAATATATATAATGTTAAATATTTTTCCTTAATCGCCTGAAACGTTAGTTCTTGCGTGAATTTTCCCAAAATCATTTCTCTTAGTATAGGTACTTATTGTACAATTTAAAAAAGGTTTTGTACAGAAATTCATTGATAAGTCCAATTAGGGGGTTCTATTCTTACTCAAAAGGCAGTCATGAAAATCTTATAATTTAACAGTCATTCAGGAAAACGCTAGTGTCATTATTCTTGCCAAGAGAAGCAGCAAAAAAGTTGAAGTGCAGTAAATTGTGTTTGCAAAGTGTTGCTATACACTGCCACATTAATCTCCATGCAATATTTTAAAGTTGCAGCTGCTGTTAGCTAATGCTTTCCCCTTCTGTGAAGCCAAAGGAGCCATTTGATTCATTTGCATAATAGAATTTTCACAAAGAGCATAATTTCCTGTTAGCCTGCAGATTAGATCAATATCTCACTGGATACAAAAAGCTATTTTGATTATTTATTTCTACCTTGCAAAATTCTCATCCAAATTTTGCAAGAATTAATATGAATTAATAAATTACCTCACCAAGCTAAGGTTTTTTTAAAATGACAAAAAAATCATGGCTTTTAAGATGTGAAAATCAATTTAATGTTTCCAAACAATATGCTGCTGTGCAAGGACTCCTCTAGGGTCATGAATTGTAATATATTTTTTATTTTTTTGGATGAATCTGGACCTCAGCTGTCTTTTAGCAAAAGGCAAAAGTAATTCAACCATGTCAAGGTTACTCACAAGGAAACTTCAGCTTAATTGCTTTACCATTTTATCTTTTCCGTCTCAACACAATTTACATCCAGCCAGATTCAAAGAATGCACTTGTGATTTTCAAGGTCAAGGGTTTGATCACCTAGCTGGGCAGAAAAACATATTTTAAGTTTCTTAAGAAAGCAGAAACAAAATTAAGTTTGAATATCCCTCAGAGTATTATTAACTCCAATTTGGAGGTAGTTGACATTGTTTTCTATTGAATGAATGCGATGATCTGGTTACTGCATTCAAAGAGCAACTTCTGCTTACTATTTATACACATTCTAAAGATGAGTCTGATGTTTCTTTTTTAGTTTATACACTATTTTGATGAGTACTAGTAAGACAGATTCTTCAAAACTTGCTAAATTACAGATCTATAGGACCATGGCTTCCATTTTCCAATGACAAAGAAACAGGTTAGTCAGGATAAAAATGGAGGATAAAGAACAAATGGTAGATGGAGACGATGATGCTATGGAATCAGAACTGGAGGGGAGTGAAAAGCCTGAGGGAGGGTGGGGTTGGGTGGTTTGTTGTGGTACCTTCAGCGTCAACTTTATAGTGTTCGGTATTCATAACTCATTTGGTGTGGTGTACGAGTACCTGGTAGATGAACATCACATGGGGGAAGCTGAGACAGGTAAGGATGATAACCCAGTGGGTAAACCTGACTGAGAGTTCTTTACTGTAAAACAGTCGCAGATTTTGACTTTTGACCTTGAGCCAAGCAGGCACGTAGCGTGGTCATTTTTTCAAGTACACACAGGTACATATGATCTAGAAACCTAAGTAAACTGAGCGAAAAATACTGCATTCTTTATTTCTTGTTTGAAATAGTTGTGTGAATACAAGCAAAGAACAAAGCGTCTTGCCCTTATTTTGAGCAAACTTGGCGCAAACACAACATTTTTTTCAAATTTTTCTGGTCACTTCAAGTACGCACATGTGTATATATATATGCGTAGAGGACACTATGCACCTGCCAAGAAAGGGGGCAGGGGTTGTGTGTGTACACCTGCAGGCTTTCTTTTCTTTCTTTTGCAATTATTATTTCACCCAAAATAAGGGGGGTCTTGGCCCCCCCCCCCCAGGTGCCTCCCCTAGATCTGCCAATGTAAATTACACACTGAGTTTTACCCATGTTCATTTGAGTGCCTTAGTTAAATCAAAGATAAAAAAAGGAATGTTGCATAATTTGTAGTACAGATTACAAAGACAACATTAGGGAGATCTCTAGTTTTTTTCCATGCATGTGGAGTTGCTTGAAATGAGTGATGCAGAATGAGTCAGTCCCTTATCATTGTCCAATTTCATCCTTAATTTCTACTTGTAATGTACATTGAAATGGCTCGTGTTGTGAATCATTAGCAGCATTAGACAACATTTTAGGGCACTTTTTTATTAAGATATTTTCACTCACAAATATTACAACAAAGTATCTGTTCTTTCTTTCCTCATAGCTTGGGTTGGTGCAATGGCTGGTTCCCTTAACTTCTTGTGTGGTCCACTGACAAGTATTCTTTGTGATCGCTTTGGATTTCGTCGAGTAGCATTTGTTGGGGCCCTTCTATCTGTGACTGGACTTTTTCTTACGTCACTTGTGACTAGCTTGCATTACATGTACCTCACTTATGGACTTCTTTGGGGGGTAGGGTCCAGTCTTTCCTTTGTACCTTCCATTGTGATGTTAGGTGAATACTTTGATAAAAGACTGGCACTAGCCAATGGATTAGGTACAAGCGGGAGTGGAGTGGGTTCATTGGTAGCCTCACCTGCGATTAACTACTTACTGCGGGTCCTTGGATGGAGTAACTCTCTGCGCATACTCAGTGGGGTTGCAGCATTTCTTGTTGTGGCATGCTTCCTCTATAAACCGGTAAAAACAAGACGGCGTGAAAGAGCCGTGACAAAACAGTGCAGCCAGTTGTGTGACATTTCAATTTGGAGGAACCGGCCTTACGTAGCCTGGGTACTAACAGTAGCGTTATTCCAGTTCGGATATCCAGTCCCTTTCGTCCATTTGGTAAGTCAGGAGACTTTCATACTCTGTTTGTGGTGTAGTGCCATGGGAATAATGAAAAGGATGTACTAGTAGTACTGAGGTCGCGTGAAGATTCGTTAGCCGTGTGCTCGTAACGTCGAGGAAATCATCGCTTTCACGCAGAAAAGAAAAACAGCAAAAATAAAGCGAAACATTACGAAAAAGTAGAAAATTCAGCAAAGTTTTATTTGGTTTTCTTCAGTTCTCTTTGAATCCTCCAGTCAGCCCAATGGATAGTGCGCTGGACTGTTGTGTAGGAGGTCGAGGGTTCGAGTCCCGGCCGGACCAACACTCAAGGTTTTAAAATAATTGAGAAGAATTTGCTACCTTTCTATAAATTCAAGAAATGGTTAGATATTCTAGTCTTCTCGGATAGGGACGAATAAATGGAGGTCCCTTCTCCTGCAGGGTTGGGGGCATTAGACGTTAATTTCCCACACACGAGATAACTGTGTGATGGATATCCTCCCCTGGGGTGGAATGGGTGGGTTTCCTGGGCCCGCAGCAATTGGCGCAAGCTGTTGCGGTGTCCCTGCCTGTCGGCGAATCTAATAAATTAGATTAAAACGTGACAAGACCTTTTAAAATGTATCTTGAAGTGACAAAAGCAAATTTAATGTGCAAGTTACATGAACAAAGCAAAATCAGTAGTAATGTGAAAAGAAAACCATTAAAAAACATTTTAAGTTTGTAGAACTTATTTATGGCTCATAATTTGTTTTAAAAAAAAAAGTCTGTGGAAGCGCAGTCTATTTAAGTAAGTTCGGCATTTGCTTGGAGGCTTGTGTTTATCAATATTTTGCTTTCAATTACAGCACTTTTTGAGGGAGCAGGGATGGCGCAGTGGTGAGAGCACTCGTCTCCTACCACTGTGGCCCTGGTTCGATTCCTGGACCTGGCGTGACATGTGGGTTGAGTTTGTATTTGGTTCTCGTCCTTGCTCCGAGGGTTTTTCTCCGGGTCCTCCGGTTTTCCTCCCTCCTCAGGGGACAAGAAGAGCCACCCAGTGGAATGTCCATTGCTAAATTATTATTTATTTATTTACTTATGCTAAAAGAGAAGCTTTCTTTAGTAATGTCATAAAGTTATGTTCATTTGTATCCCTCTCGTCAGGTGAAATACGCCGATGACCTTGGTATCCCGCCTTCCAAAGGAGCATGGCTGGTCGGATTCCTTTCCATCATGTCTACTGTGGGGCGTGTGATTTTCGGAAAGATCTGTGAACTGCGATGGGTCAACAAGGTTTATGTTTACCAGTTTTCAGTGTTTACCATAGGACTTAGCACGATGATCTGTCCAATCACAGAGGGGTATGCGGGTCTCGTGACCTACTCTCTTGTGTTTGGTTTTTTCGATGGATGCTTTGTTGGGCAAGTGGCTGTAATCACCGGAGAAATTGCAGGAAAGAACAGGCTTTCGCAAGCAGTGGGAAATATGTTTGGGGTTTTGGCCATCCCTATGAGTTTTGGACCGCCGGTCGCAGGTAAGAACAGATCCCGAGCGCACGCTCGAAACAAATGAATGGGGGGAAATCAATTATTAACCAATTCTAATCTCTCTAGTTGAGTTTGTCCACTTTGGGTATTCTTCTGCGCTTTACTAAAAGAACAGAGTTCATTTTCACGGAGACAAATGTGTTTTGGGCCTGACTCAGAGTCTTTTAAGACCGAGCCGCTAGACGAGAGTAAAATGATTCTAAGAGGGACCCAAAACATATTTTTTCCCAAGAACATAAACTGCATCACTATTATATTACTTTCAGGGACATTGCGAAAATGAAAACTAAAAAAAATAATAATAAATAAAACAGTCTGAACAATCACGGGAGCGAACGAGCGGTTGTCATACATTTTTTCCCGCCGAAATATCTCGTTTGGCCCACAAAGGCGCCACAATGTCTAACGAAATGATTGTAAAAGAAAAAATATCCAACCATTCTTTTTCTTTTTTCTTTTTCTTCTTTCCTTTTTTGTTTTGCAAAGGACCAGACATGTAAAGTATAACTAAGAATTTCGGGCCTTTTTTTTCTGTTTATGCAGGCTGGCTTTATGAAGCTACAGGCTCTTACCACCAAGCATTCTTTGTGTGTGGGAGTGTGGCCATCATGGCTTCTCTACTTGTTTTCGTCGTGTCTCGCTTAGATCGAAATCAAAAAAGAGGAAGTAAAAATACGGACTTAAACAATGTATGCAGGTATGAAGTGAGTTTTGAAAGTGAAATGTCTACCATACTTGGAGAGAAAACATCCCGTGAAGTCCTCATCGTCACAGACAAAGAAACTGTTCTGTAGTTGCATGTTTTGTATATCTTGCATGACCATGGATTTGAGATCTTTTATTAATGACAGAGCTCTCTTCGATTGAGTGTTATAGAACGAAAACCAAAGAAATCACAACAGCCAATCAGAAGAAAAGGGAAAAATCTGAAGGAGCCAATCCTAACTTAGAATTAAAAGCATACAAACTGTCTAAAGCGCGGGAAAATGTGAGAAACCAAGTCGCGGCTGCTTTCAGCTTTGCATATGATTGGTTGAGAGATGGTTGGCAATATTTTGGACCAATTACGAAACGCAGCAAGGCAAAACTTACGCAGTCTCGAATCACTATAGGCACTCAATCGTAACTTGTTTTGTAATAATTTAAATTTATTTTGCTGGTGTCGTGTTTTAGAAGGTTTTTTTTTTTTTTCTTGTTCTTTCCACGTCACATTTACCCAAACCTAAAATTATGAGGTAGTGATATACACGACTCTCCTGGTACTAAGGAAATTTGGATTCTAGCGTTTTTAACTTTTGCTGTATGTAACATGGACCATACCAATACATACAGCCTTGCTGTAAAAAAAGATTGACATACCGTAAATCCTCCAATACGTCCACCGGGGAGCCTATTTATTTCAGGTACTTTGGAAGGGGGACTGGCTTATTAGAGGGGGGCTTACTAATTTAGCCTGATGTTCACCACCAGGATACAATAGGATATGAGAGGGGGGGAGGGGCTTAATTAATCTCTTCCTCGAACGAGGGAGCGCTTATTAGAGGGGGTGGCTCATAAGAGCGGAGGGCTTAATAGAGGATTTACGGTATTTTTTAATTGGAATTATTTTTGTGGGCGATCAAGTGTTTTGAAAAGAGCTTTTGTTAGTTTTCAGGTAGCAGTTGAGTGTACACTTTCTCTGAAAAAGCGCCTTTGTTACTATGAGTTACTTGAGCAAATATTTTACGTACTGTGGGGAATTTTTGGACAAATCCTTGCGTATTTATAAGAGAAATTGTAGTAGTGCAAACTAGGAACCTAACGAAAAATTATTTATGAAGACACTGCTAACATTTATATTCATTGGTTGCGTATTTAGATAAACGTCGGTGTTATTGTATTATTCAAGCAAAAAGTTGTGGAATTATTTTACGTACCGCGAGGGAATGTTTTTACAAATTATTTGTTAACTTATGAAAAATTTGAGCAGAGCGTAAAATACAAAATTATACTTTAAGAGAACAACTATTTATTGAGACGTTATTCACATTTCTAGCCGCATGTTGCGATTCTATTTGCACTTCAATTATATTTTAATGTGAAAAAAAGTTTACTTCTAATAATTTATTTTTGGAAGAGGTTATTATTTGTTATTAAGTTGATATGAAATAAAGTTTCAGTTCCATGCAATAGGGAATTGATTATCATCAGAACTTGTTGCGTTGTTGTTGTCGTTTTTGTTTCTTTCTTTTTCGATCAGCGAGAAAAAGGAACAGGGAAGGGAGGGTGAGGAAGAAGATGGGGTTGGGAAAGGGTTTGGGGTAGTCTTGTACCCAGACCTTCAACGGCGAAACGGTCAATTGCAGTCTGGGCTCGAGATTGGGTGGATGCGTCTGCGCGTTAAGAAGAAACAGCTACGTTCAAGTAAGAAACTTGCATTTTGGCAAAGGGGCTAGGTTTTGGGGTGGGGATGAAGTCAAAGTGAAAGCCCCCATCGACCACTGAAAACGTTCAGTTTCAAATCGGCCGAGCCAAACGCGAAACAACTTATGGGAATTTTTCGAACTTAACACGTTTTGTTCCGACAAAGTCGTACAAGAGAACAAGAGAACACGACAAAGTCCTACAAGAGAAATGTAAGCATCCCAAGCAGCAAAGTGTAAGCTGTTCGCTAACAAGAATTCATTGAAAGATAATAAATACGATAGGCCCCGTTTGGCGCGAAAATACGCACAGATATTTGTCCTTGGACATGATCTGTTCTTTGACCTCACAGTTTTCCTGGAGCTTCGCTCGGAAAACTGTTCGCGTCTCGGAACAGATAATGTTCGCGGAGAAATATCCGTTCACATTTCGCGCCATATGGAGGTTTTTGTTTATCATGACCATAATTTTACAGACGTGCGTAGCGTAGCACCCGGTAGCCACAGGGGGGCTCAGTGAGGCAAACAGAATCGTTCAGTATACGTGACTATTATATCGATATTGCATCATCCATTCGCATACATCACGCGACCTGACAAGATCAGAGAACATAAACAAAGAACAAAGCTGGTGGGACGAGGTCGACGAATCACGCAGATCGGTTAAAACCGCCTTTGCATCTGAAATCCACACTCTCCGAAGCATTAAAATAACATTCCTCGTCGTGTTACCTCACCCAACGCTCCGTTACGCAACGTTCAACTAGTAGTCACGCAACGTTCAACTAGTATAACATAAAAACAATTTACTATGATCACTACGCATTGGCGCGCGGTTGGTAAACAAGAAAAGAGAGCCTTCTAGTGATATACGACAATCTGATCAAAAGTGTCTGGGTGGTTTCTCATCTATATCCTGAGGAACACAATGAGATTCACCAGCTAGGTTCGGGTTGTGAATCGATTTACTGTGATCGAGAAATGAAAAGTGAAAAACAAGCAGATGGTGGACTTAGGGGGAAATCGACAAGTCGAGACGGCGGCTACGGATGGGTAGTTTGCTGTGGGACTTTCATTGTAAATTTTGTGGTATTCGGAATTCACAACTCATTTGGTGTTGTGTATGTTAACCTACTCGATGATCTACAACTTGGTGAGATGCAAACAGGTGAGCAAACAGTCCGTACTGGTACGTAGTTAGTGATTTCAGACTATACTTTGATCTATACGGTTACTCAAGTGTCAAAGTAATTGTGCTTGTACTAGACAAAATCACTGTAAACACAAGGGATTTTAAAACTAACTTATTAAATATGTTCAATTCCAGTCTTGAACAGAGAAGTAGCTCTGCTTCATCGTTAATGGAATAGATTTAAGTGCACGCGTTAGGATGAAACACGCATTAACCTTAATTGAAACGATCTAACTGTTGTTCACTTGCTAATTTTAGAAGAATACAAAAGGATTAATCGAACCTGAGAGAGTACATCGAAAATGATACATGTCGCAGTGCTATCTTTCAAAGAGAACTAACTGTATCTCTAGCTTCGCTTGAAGTTGATTAATTCTCTATTAAAACTGACTAGTTGTAAATGACAATAAGCTAAGTGAGTGAAATTGATATCTTGACTGACACGATACATATGAATTGATGAATTGAAACATTGAACTATTTCCCTTCGAGCTGAAGTTTCATTTTCGTTTTTCACTCAATAATTTCTCGCCAGGAATTTACACCTGAAAAAGGTGGGTGTCCGCACATGAATCGATTATTATGGTCATCACGAGTTTGGACTAAACCTTTGAAAAATAAACAAATGCTGGTCTCCTGATGAAAGCACATCAATTTCTTTCCCCGTGATTTTTTCTGACTTGAATCAAAACAACAAACATCTTCTTGCCTGAAATTTTCAATACTTACTTCTATATAACGGGCAAGTGATTACTTCCAAATTTCTATTCCGTCAGAAATAAGGTTGCTAATTTGCTGTTTATCACGTGTGGCCGACCTGTCAACTATAGCACAGCAATGGAGATGTCAAGTACAGATTAATTATGGAAGACTTCTGATAAAGGGTCCCAATGGGGTGATGGTTTTTACGGCTAACGGTTAAAATTTTGGCCAATCGACGACTAACGGCTAATATCTTTCCGTGGCAGTCACCAAAAAAAATTTTAGTAGTTATTTTTTTAACCACTAGCGGTTACAATTTTTGAACTGTTACGCCTAATGGCTAAATTTTTTTGGCCATGTTACTGCTATCGATTAACAGAGACCTTCCAGATGCTAAGTCTAAGCACGCCCTTGATTAGTTTAGCATCGTAACATCAGGGATGCACAGCAAGTTCTGCCTGGCATGGTTAATGTCTGCAGAAGTTTTAAAGTCACAGGTTATCGCCTAAATTTTGGTTTACAATGACTAATGGGACAACTGTAGAATTTGTGAACAGGGTTTTATAGAGAGCGCATTGGCGTGTTTCAGAATCTACAAGATAGGCGTCATCGACCAAGCGTGAGGTCCACAAAACAAGTGTTAACAAAAACAATAACAACGGCAGCTTGACAGAGCATGCTTACTCTTCTAAAGGTTTAACCAAAAGAACATAATGTTGTATTATTTTCCCTTGGACTTACCTAAAATCCCGAAAAAGTAAAGATCGATATGCCCAAAAATCGAGAAACTCGTCCCTTCTTTTAATGAAAAATATAGTTTCTTGCTTGTAAAGCAATGCAAATAGATAATTTCCTTTGCGCTAACAAACAAATCACCGTCCAAAAGATTTCGAAGCATGGGGAGTAAAGCTCACTTCGTCTTGAAGAAGAAGGGATTATCATCATGCTTTTTAGTGCCGTTTGTACTCGGAGGGAGTGGAAGTTGTAGAATAGGCGGTTAAACTTTTCATTCTTAGGGGTTTCAAATAATATCAAAAAATAAGTAGAACAGTTAAGAGAGGCGACAAAAACATCGACTAAGGGACTTTCGTTTGATTCTTGATTCTATCTTGCCAGGATACATTGTACACGCCGAATCATTGTCTGTTTTTAAGAGTAGACTTAAAATTTATTTGAATATTTATTGAATATTTATTGAATCTGTAGCCATTATATTTTATCTTTTGTATGTTTTTAGTCAGGGAAAATATTTTTATACAGGGCTAACCTCACGATTTTCCCTTATGAGGATGTATTTTTAATATTTGCGTTGTAGCTTCCTGAATAAATGTTATGTAATGTTATGTTATGTTATGTTACACCATATTCTCGGATCTAAAAAATGAAATGTACAAGAAATGGAAACCTGACAGTGATGAGGAGACTTAAATATTCAAATCTTGTATGAGAAAGGATGATGATGATACCCTTGGGTGGGCGCCTTGCATGGGTCTTTGTGTCCCGTGCGCGCCTTTCTCTTTTAGCCTGGCTTTTATTAATTTCGCATAGTTATTCTACTTATTCCTTCCTATCTTGTAAATAGTTTTATTCCATTTATTGCCCAGTAAAGATTTAAAGAATTTTCAGGATAAGAAGGTGAAGATTTTACAGGCAAGGATACATAGCGTTCGTATTGAAATGCTTCTGAAGTGTGAGACAGTGGATGATGGGAAGCGTAAGGTGGAATTTGATGAAATCTGCTACTGTGGCCAGACTAACTCATGCACTTACACCGATATTGGGTATTGAAGGGTTCTCTTTGGCTCATTGGAAAGCATCCGAGCGCGAAATCCGAATGTCTGGGATCGATTCAGCGTGGGGGAATTCAGATATTTTCCACTGCTCCACACTTGTGACAAAAATAATAAAATCTTTATACACTGAGATCATTGTTTTATTTCTTTTCACAGCGTCGATCGGTGCCATGGCTATGGGGTTGAACTTCTTCTTTGGTCCTATATCAAGTGCACTGTGTGATCGTTTTGGATGTCGCGTTGTGTCCTTCGCTGGCGCGTTGCTGTCCGTATCAGGGTTGTTCCTAACTTCGTTCATACAAGAAGTTCATAAAATGTATGTGACCTACGGACTTGTATGGGGAGTGGGTTCTAGTTTCTCCTTCGTGTCGTCCATCGTTGTCCTTGGTGAGTACTTTAATAAAAGACTGGCGCTCGCCAATGGGATTGCAACATCCGGGAGTGGCGTAGGCTCTCTTGTTGCCGGGCCGGTCATAAATTACCTACTGGGATCTGTTGGATGGAAAAACTCCATGCGCATTTTGAGTGCGTTTGCTGGACTGTTGTGGTTTGCGGCTATGATCTTTAAGCCAAAGAAAAATCTTCAGTCTACTGGGCAAAGAAGAGAACGTACCAAGTTATTTGATACATCAATATGGAAGAATAAAGCGTATGTTTTGTGGGTCACTACTGTAGCCGTGTTTCAATTTGGTTATCTGATTCCATTTATTCACCTGGTAAGTTGTATCATTATTTTTTTATACTCTTTTTTCCTCTCGTTCCTGACTGGTTAGTGACAAATGCATAAATAGGTTGTGGACTGCCATTCACGATTTCTTTCTTGCAATCTCGCTAAAAGGGTTAGTATTTAAAGAAAAGTTACCAATGTTGATCTACAGAATATACTTCGAAGAACATTAAACTTGGTCTTTGTGTCATGATAATTTAATAAAATAATAAATTCAAAGAAAACACGAGCGTTTTCTAGACAATTTTTTTTATTAGCCACCGTTAGGTAGAGAATTTCTAAAGCAGACACAACTCGCGTTGACCCCTGAAGAATTAAGGGCTAACACTTGAAACGCAAGCTTTAGAAACTCTTTACGGTGGCAAATTCACATTATCAACTCAGTTGATTAAACCAAAATAATTTGGAAATTCCCTCCCCCGACGCAGCACCACAGTTTTGTCAGAAACTTACCGCCTTATTCGTCTTGTTATTCTCTGCAGGTGAAGTATGCCGAAGATTTAGGAGTACCAAAATCTAAAGGCGCATGGCTAATTGGCTTTCTGTCAATTACCTCAACACTTGGACGAGTGGTATTCGGCAAAATTTCCGACCTGAAATTTGTCAACAGGCTCTACATGTACCAATTTTCGATATTTTCCATTGGATTGACCACCCTCTTGTGCCCTCTGGCCAAAAACTATGCAGGACTTGTGAGTTATACTTTGATATTCGGATTTTTTGACGGATGTTTTGTTGGCCAAGTTGCAGTGATTACAGCTGATGTGGTCGGACACGATAAACTTTCTCAAGCAGTGGGAAACATGTTTGGAACTCTGGCGATACCAATGAGTCTTGGACCTCCGCTCGCAGGTAATCAGGTTTATGTAAATTTTTAATTAAATGTCGAGTGAAAACGGTCGACTAACCTAAGGTTTCAACTTTGTTTTTAGGTTGGCTGCATGAAGCATTCGGCACCTATGATAAAGCATTTTACATTGCCGGTTCTGTGGCGATATTTTCTTCTCTCTTGATTTTTGGTGTAAACTATATGATTCGAAAGCAGTTTACAGAAAGGGAAATTGAGGAGCAGTTGGGATTAAAAAGCGACACTTCGCTGAGTGTTTCTGAAGCTGAAACAGCTTCTGACTCTGCTTACAAAGATACAGAATCAAAGCCGATGCTGGAAGAGGAAGAGTACGTGGCCGTCAATAAATTTTGCAAGCTGCACTGTGCGTTAAGAACAAGCAAGGCACTTCTTGTGGTCGACTCT